TGACTTTTCATTTAAGGGGACGTACAGTAGCTGTGAAATGGAGACTAACATCCAGATGTGAGGATGCAGTGTAGTATGCATTTCTGCTTCCAGACAAAGATGGACTTATAATGAAACTGTTTACTATATCTTGACAATAGGATTCTGGACTCTTTGCCATTGTCCATGTCTGCAATGATGGGCATATGACTGAGTATGAAGAACTATATGTTAGTAATGATATATAGGAACTAGGTGGGGGGAATAAGGGAGGGAATATGGAACTGTATATTAAAATGATAATAATAAAATGTAAAAAAATCACAATGAGATATCACTTCACTCTGGTAAGATTGGTAATTTAGCAAGAAGACAAAAGATTAAAAGTGTTTATGAGGATGTGAGCAAAAGGAAATGTTTGCACACTGTTGGTAAGTTCGTAAATATGTACAAACACTGTTGAAAACAATTTGGAGGTTTCTCTAAACTCTGAAAAGAGACCTGCCATATGATCCAGTCATCCCACTCCTGTGTAGATGTCCAAAGGAAGTGAAATGTGTCTGTGCAAAGACGTCTGAACTCCTGTGTTTATTACAGCACTATTCACAATACCCAGGGACTAGAAGGACCTTAGAGATGTCCACCTTGTGAATAGATGAAGAACATGTGTGTATGTATACAACCAAACATTACTCGGTAACCAAATGATCAAATCTTGCCGTTTGTAACAACATGGGTAGAAGTTGAGTTCATTATGTTATATAAAGAAAGCCAAATATGGAAAGAAGTGTATTCTATGGTCTCACTCATATGCAGATTCCAAAAATAAGGAAGGTGCTCTTACAGTAGCTACCAGAGGTTGGGAAGTGGCAAGGGAAGATGGGAAAAGATGGATAGGTACTAGGCTTACCTTAAGAGAAATAAGAAGTTCTAGGGTTCTATTGCACAATAGGGTAAAAATAGATAATGCTAATTTACTGTATGCTTTTCTATCAGATAACTATACAATACAACTTCTGTGTGTTTTCACTGCAAAGAAATGTAAAGTGCTTGAAAAGATAAAAATATTCCCTCTGGACATTACACATGCATACATATAATGAAGCAACACAAATCATGATACAAATATGTGAAATTTTATGCATATGATATTTTTAAAATAAAAATTATTTTAAAAGATTTTTTAGCACAGAATTGCATATATTATGAAAATTGTTTCTCATTATGCATTTTCTATAATGTATACAATATATATATACTAAAATGTGTATAATAAAATTAGAGAACTGACTTTTTTAGTCAAGATGAAAACTTATCTTTTATTTCTTGTTTTATCTTTGCACTGTACATTGGCCATATCTCAGCTATAGCATTAATTTGTGGCTTTTCACACATTCTTAGAGATCTATATTTCTAATGTTTCTCCAAACACAGCTTTTAGATCTAATGCAGCTATTAAGTGTTTATCATTTGGCAAAGAGAAAGTGAATTTTGACATAACTTTGTTTTGATACTTAGTATTTCATTGTGATGATCCTTTCATGATCTCATTTTGTTATATATTTGATTGGGCTTACATTTCTACAATGTCCTTAAAAATAACAAATGAGAAAAATACCTTATATTTCAGTAACATATAAAATTAAAAGCTATAATTCATACAGGGAGCATTATACAGCAGTGTTTTAATTAAGAAAAATAGTGAGAATTCCAGAATTCTAAGTCATAGAATTTTACAAACAATGATTGACAATTAACCTGTTTCTGGACAAAATGCACTGTATTTTATTTAGTATTTTATTTAGATTCATCTTCGTGCTAAATATGTCTCATGCCCTAATTATTTTGCTCAGAAAAAGTTGTGAGCCATTTACCCAACATCATTCTGTAGGGCTAGATCAAAACAGACATTTAGGGACCAGTGCTGCAGCACAGAATGCCAAGTTTCTCCCTGTGGTGCTGGCAGCCCATGTGATTGCTGGTGCGAGTCCAACTGATCCTCTTCCAATTCAGCTTCATGCTAATGGCCTGGAAAAAGCAATGGGTGATGACCCAAGTTCTTGGGATCCCATTACTCATGGGGAGACCCAGAAGAAGCCCCTGGCTCCTGGCTTGGACCAGATCCAAGCCTGTCCCTGCAGCCATCTTGGGAGTACATCAGCTAAAGTAAAACCTTCTCTATATCTCACTTTCAAATAAGTAAATATATCTTCTAAAAAAAGCAAAAACTTGTTTATCAGAGTGAAAACACTGGATAGTTGAGGTAGAGAGAATTTTGCATCATTTTTTTGGAATGTCATAGAAACTTAAGCATTGCATTTAAAAAAGACCATTTCAAGTTAACTAACAGAGTAATCTCCCATTTTAAAAAAAGGAGGGTATAGGGCCTGGCATGGTAGCCTAGTGGCTAAAGTCCTTGTCTTGCATATGCCAGGATCTCATATGGGCACCGGCCCTAATCCTAGCAGCCCCGCTTCCCATCCAGCTCCTTGCTTGTGGCCTGGCTAAGCAGTTGAGGGTAGCCCAAAGCCTTGGGACCCTGCACCTGTGTTGGAGACCCAGAAGAGACTATAGGTTTCTGGCTTCAGATTGGCTCAGCTCCAGTTATTGTGGCCACTTGGGGAGTGAATCTGCAGACAGAAGATCTTCTTCTCTGTCTCTCATTCTATCTGTATATCTGACTTTCCAGTAAAAAAAAAATCTTAAAAAAATGAGGATATAGACATGAGCTCTGTGTTACTACAGGGTGAAAGAAATCTAGGAGTAAAGGGGAAAATGAATCTAAACTTCCTGAATGTCTCTGTACCCTTGAATTCTTATATTTTGTGGAACAGTTCCTTTGAAGTAAATATTATTTCTACTTGTCTATGCCTATTACTGGATATGCATTTGAGTTAATATCACCTCTTACATGAAAACCTCTCACAATCTGTCTGCGTTTGTTCCTAAACATTCCTCCTGGTGTTTTCATTCCGCTCTGATGCCATCAAATGGGCTTCTTGGTTGATTTTCTTGCAGGAGGATTCCTCCAACACCATCAGGCAGGCCAGAGAGGCACTTAGCTTCAACAGGGCTGTGTAGTCTGATCAGTAGGCTAACTGGCTGTGTGACACTGACCATATTCCTAAATCTGCCTGTACTTCATCTTTCTGGTGAGTAAAAGGAGAGTAATAATAACACCCACCTCACAAGATGCTTATGAAGTTTCAATGTATTACCGTTTGTGATATAATTAGAGCAGTGTGTGCTGTGAAAAGAAATGAAAACAAACACAGACAAAAGGTTTGCCAGACACAGAAATGTTGGTGGCGACTGAGGAGGGAGCCCTAGGATGGACTTGAGATGCATGCAAGGTCTTTGGAGAGGGAGTGATGCCACAGAGACATGTTCTGGATACTAGCAGGTGTTACTGGACCCAGCCTAGGCACAATTTGGAGGGTGATAATTATTCAATTACACTTCAGTTTCTATTCTTCTTTTTCTCTTAAAGGATGTCAAGTATATTCTTTTGGAGTAAAATGCATTGGTTGATTCAAACACAGACAGATTCAAACATATACATATATTTATTACATATGTATATTTTTATTTATGTAAATACATGTCATATTTACATGCTCTCTATATATGCATATTTATATTTATTTATATATACATAATACATATGTAGGGTTTTTTTAAACAAATATTTAGGCCAAATCTGATGCTACCTGCTGGGCACACTTGCAAAAACACTAATGTTTCCAACTCCCAGAAAGCTTGAGCTCCAGTAACTGAACAAGATACCACACAGCTAATTGTGCAGTTACAGTTAAATAACACACTGAAGAGCACCCAAAGGTCAGAAATAATAAGTAACAGAAGTCCCATCCTATTCTAGTTGATCAGGATCTATGTCATAGGGGAAATGATTTTAAAGTTTCAGCTTTGACAATTTAGAGTAGCTGATGAGGTCTGCAACTTGGCTTTAAGGAAGAGAAGGGCATTTCAAAGAGGTGGCAGCATGAGCAAGCGCTTGGAAATCATTTTGTACAACAGGAGAATACAAGAGCAGAAGATTAATTTATTTCTATAAAAAGAAAGCATCCAGGTAAATTACTTACTCATTGTTTGAACTCAAAGGCAGGTTGTATTGATACTATTCAATTATTTCAGCTTTATGTATAATCAATATAGGATATTAATAATAATTTTATTTAGAGATGTGAACATTTTATGGGAAAAGTACCTTACAGTTTTAAAGTTAAGGGCTGAACATTAACTATCATGAAGAATCTAGAGTCTTAGAGGTTAAAGATTAAAGGAATTACCCCAAAAGTAATTACAATTAGTTTATTACTTTTCAGTTACTTCTTTGGCCTCCTGAAAGCACACCATAAAATCTACTGTTATAGCATTTACAATAATATTGTTTTATATACATTATATATATGTTTTATTCATTAAAAGATAAAAACAATGCCATTGTCCTTTAAAAAAAATAGCTCAGATTTTACTTTAACAAAATCTGTTTGGAAATGTTAAGCTGGTTACACAGAACTAAGATGCCTCAAGACGGTCATTCTCTGTGGATTAAAGCTGTGGAACAATTGAGGCTCCTGTTACAAGGAAAATTACAATAAGCCATTATGAAAGGGACAAAATTCTCTGTTCCCAGAGGGGACCGACAAGCTTAAATTCCCCCCCTATGTACCAACACAAAAACCTTATTTCTTCAGTTTGTTTTTTATGTAAATCAAAAGGGTGCCATTGATTCACGATTGGAACTGCTGAGCAACAAAGGAGGTGGTGATTGGCTGAGCTGATGCTCATGGACTGCTAGCACATCTGACAAATCCTACTGCTTTTGTGCCACACTCTGCCAGGACACCTGCAAGAGAAGACTCTTCCTATGACATGCCAAGAGAAAACCTTGCACTGTTAAAGTAGGAATTGGGACTTTTGGACTTCAAGATATCTTATCAAGGATCTGTTTACTCCATTCTCTAAAGCTTTCTGCAAATTGGACTTGACTGCACATCATGACAGATGTTCCAGCAGCATGTAGTCAGGCTGCATACAATAAGGAAAAAGCACCTGAAAATGGTCAACTGTCAATTTCTACAATCCATGAAGAAATAACTGATGTGACCAGATCTCTATACTGCAGAATAGAACCCAGTCTTCAAGAATTACCCGCAGAAGGAAACCAGGATCAAAGTGGAAAATTACAAGGGAATGTGCTGTTCAACTCATCCATGGATGGGAAGATACCAAATGGTAAATTAGCTCATTTCTCTTATATTCACTTATTTTGATTTATAGACTCAGAAAAAGAGTGGGCTCTTAGAGGCTTTTCTAGCGGAAATATATTGCACGGATCAACGATCCTTACATCCATAAACTCAAGTTCTTTCCGCACACAAAGACAAAGGAGCAGTACTTGCTTTTGTAGTATGGCTGCAAGTATTTCCAGGCATGGGTTAAATATTCACAACTATCACTTGCAATTATTGTGGACAGCTCCATTTTCATTTACAGAAAGAAAATTAAGAATTTTAGAATTCTTCCTAAATATACCTGAACTTGAATTCATGCTTCTATGTTTTATACAACTATCAAAGAACACTTTGAGTAATCACCAAAAAGGGAGAAGCAGTACATAGCTCAATCAGGAGTCAAATGACAATAATCAATGCTCACAATTAAAACTGAAGAAATTTATTTAGAGTATTAGTTGGAAATTTGTAAATACTTGAATTATATATACTTTAAATCTTAAAATTCTGATCTTATTTTTTCCCCAGAAAACCCAGAAGAAAACCTTTTTGTTGTTCATAAGGCTATCACAGATATTTCTCTTCAGGAAACGAGTGATGATGAAACAGCATTCCGAGAAGGTAATATACTTTACTTTATTTATATATTTGCACTCAGAAACTGTGTGATTGGTTAAGGAAAGCAGTTTTTACATGAACTGCTTCATGATTGTGGGGTTGGATAAATTCATCCAGGCAATGATTTCAAAATCACAAAAATCATGCAATCATTACAGGAGATAATAGAGTCCTGAGTTATCTGTGAGTTATACCTTCAGAAGCTTTCCAAACAGTTCAGACTTCACACTCCTGGATTAGTGGAGCTGATCAGCACATCCCTCTCTCAAACAGCCCACTAACCAGCCTTTGCTTTTGATTGTGTCTCCAAATCTTTCGATAGCCTTGTAAAATACATATCTTTCAAAATAGCTCTAGAATTCTACTATTGGCATTTAGTTTGCAATTTGATTGATTCCTAAGAAAACTCTAGGGCACTTCTCCAAGTAAAAAGTGTTTAACTACTTCCTGTCAAAAAAGCTCCTGGGGTTATTAAGCTAATTTTGATTTTTTTTGTTGTTGTTCAAGAAAATGGCAGGAAAAAAAATGGCCTTATATTACATTTCAAATACACTCTGTAGACTGACACAAAATCCTTTAGTTTTTTTTTTCTTCTAAGACACCTACATACAAGGAGTTCCTAAATAATAAACAGAATTGAATCTACTAATTCATCATTCCTTTCATCTCGTGTAGGTATAAAAAATATATCTCAAAATTGAAGTCAGCTGATTAGACTTAACCAAGCAAGCATATTAGGGAAATGATAACAAGAATTAACCATTGTTGAGATAACAAATTACTACAAATAATTTGTAGGACTTGGAACCTTAACAATGAATAATTTCTTTGGCCTCACCTTTTGGCTTCCAATGTACCGGGACTTCAGAGGCAAGGCTATTCATATTCCACCTGGAATTCCTCTCAAATTTCCTATCACAATATCAACTGCAAATCACATTTCTCTAGGATCTTCAATTTTGAGTGACTGAAGAATGAAAACAGTCTGCTTTTTAAAAGTAGCCAGTAGTGTTGGTGTTTTCCCTGACTGTATCCTTGTGTGTTTGGTTGGGATTCATGTCTTTCCTTTCTGACAGAGGCACAAATTTGGGGGATTTTATTTCCACAATGATAAACAATCACCTGAATTGAAAAATATAAAGATGCTAAATATATTCAAGATAAAGCAAAGTTTAAATTTAGGAAGTAATTTCATACATGACAATCTTATGCCCATCTCATGATTATGAATAAAAACTCAGTTTCCTAGTCGTTATGAAAAGATACAATAGAATTAAATAATGTTAAGAATATTGCAAACATTCAAATGCGTATTTTACTGTATAGAACTTTGAATAGACATATCTGGTAGCAGTTATATGTTATATTACTTATCAGGGATAGTAATTTATCTCTCTTCAAGTTTACAATTGGATGCTTAAAGCAGGAAAACAAAGAAATAAAATGAGAATACAAAATATTGGATGAAAGCTAAAAAGTTGTAAACATCTTTCAGAAAAAAAAGAATAAAGAGGAAGATGAACTCTCATGTCATTTACACAGTTTTGTATTGTCAGAAGGAAAGGGGGAACCCATATCTGGAGAAGGAGTTAACCAAGATAGCATTTCTGAGTCACACACATCATGGACAGAGGTGTCCCACAGAACCTCCATGGGGGTGCAAGCTACCAGTGTTTCCTGATAATTGATCTATAACATGATCAATCAATGTTGCGATTGTGCAATGATATGGTCTAGCTGGTTTGGTGGAATGACTACCTGTTGAAAGAAATTACAGGGTACAAAATAACTGGAATGAAATGTCATTAGAAGTGTGTCCAAAGCAACAGGCTAATCTAACATTATGTGATAATGACCTCAGGATGACTTTTCAAACTTGGCTTCCTAAAATTCAGTGACAGCTTTTTTCAAATCATTTTAAATGCACTTTGATAGTCTTGATGCATAAGTACGCAAGGCCACAATCCTTGATGATCCATTTCTTTTGTAATCGGCTGTTTTAGGACAAATCTGAGATATATTAAGTTAAATGCCAATTGTGCTATTCTAATGAGTATGACCAGGAATGGGCTAAAAGTGTCTTCAGTTTTTTAGAAGAAAAAGTTTTGTTTTGAGGGATTTTTCTTACTTTCCCTTGAGTGATATGAATATGCATGTGTATATGCATGTGTAAGAGAGAGGGAGACCCCGAAATTTTATTTTGCATATTCACATATCCAATTGATTCCAGTTAGAAAGGATGTGTCAGTGTGTCTCAGGAAATTTCATTCTTTCTAAATTTGGTAGTACTCTCCCAAAGAGTTCTATACTCAAATAATTTTGGATTGCTACCTTTCTTGGAGACTTACAATATTCCTTAGCCTTTTAAAAACTTGGCTAAATTCTGAAGATGCTTACTTAACTAATTATACTGTGTAGCCCATTTGAGAAAACTTACTGCTAACAGAGAGAATTAAATGTCATAAAAAAGTTAGGAATTGATTGTCCATAAAAATTGTTTGGAGATAACAAAATAACAGCTGGGTATTGTGCTCTGAACATTTCAACTGCCAGTTGGTTTTGCTACAGGACATCAGTGGGAGAAGATTCCGCTGAGCAGCAGTAACCAAGAAATAAGTATACAGGAAGAAAGGATTATGGAACAACCTTGGGAAGAAAGAGCAGATGAGGCTAGGAAGAACAAAGCTTATGAGGCGACTGAGATTGAATGGTTGGGATCTCAGAAACCTGGCCAAGTTGACATGCTTCATTCTAAACATGACCAGGAGCAAGAGGTTTGGGATGAAGAAATCAATAATGATGATGATGATTGCAATGATGATGAAGATGAAGTTCGGGTGATAGAATTTAAGAAAAAGTATGAAGAGGGCTTTCAATTTGAGAAGGAAGATGATGCAAGAGAGGACACCCCGCTGCGCAGTCCCAGTTCCCAACCTGCGACACCTGATGAGCAACCAACTTTAGGAAAAAAGAATGATATTTCCCGAAACACTTATTCAAGATACAATACAATATCCTATCGGAAAATCAGGAAGGGGAACACAAAGCAAAGAATCGATGAGTTTGAGTCTATGATGCATTTATAAACTAACTGGAACTGAGAAATTATCACACCCACTAAAGCAACAGCTAATTCAGATGCATTTTTCTACGCCTTCTTTGTGTTATCCACATGAAAGCTGTTCAAGCTTACTTTTTATGTACCGTTGAATAGTGAAATCACCCCAAATCCAGACTGTTAACTTGAAGTAAAAAAAAGCAATAGATTCATTCTTGGACATTTGCTTTTAAAATGCTGATAATATAGCATTGTATGGTGAGCCCTACACTAGCCCCCACTGGCAAAGCTGGCCTGAATTAGCTTTAAAAATTTCAGTGTTGGAAAAGAGTCATCAGTTGGAAGAGGGACTGTTTGAAATGGTTCTATATTTTTTGTGTGTCTGTTTTTAAAGAATATTGTGATCATAGAAAGATTGTTACTAAACCTCTCTTATCTTTTAAGCATGGTTTTGTAGACTGGCAATCTGTTTTCAAAATCATTTACCTTTTCTTTATCCTCAAAAACTACTGTAAATAGTTTTCCTTGACACATGCAGGGTGAAATTTTAAAAACCTCCTTTCTAGAGTTATAATTCAGTGCATTTTCTCATTAGAGGGGATGGGACACTGTCAGTCAGGAGAATTCTGTTTGCTGAATGTTGGCATTATGCTTTCAAACTAAAACTTATTGTGTTGTTGATACAGGGAGGGGCTAGAAAGTTACTGGGCAACAGACTAAATAAAGAGTTATATTGGCTATATTTTTGTTACTGAAAGTAAAACCTTGTCTAGCACAGTTAAAATCATTAAGAATAAAAATGACAGCTTTAGCACAATTTTATGAAAATGCCCCTCTATTACTATAGTTTCTCTTATTAACAGTATCTCGGAATAATTTTCTCTCCTTATAAACCTGAGACAACGCTAGTCATAACTGTACTAGTTACTATGAAAATGGAAATAATTATGTTAGAATATTTTCAAAGTGGAGTGTGAGTATGTATTTTTAGTGAGAAAGCTCTGATAGTTGTTAGGAATATGTAATTTACTGGACCTCAGCCCAAAGCAAGTTGCTTAAAATTGTGCTTGTGGAGCTTCACTCAAGGCAATGTGTCAGATAATGTATTGAATATTTATGAAAAGATAGTATCTATATTTATACTCCCTGATAGTTGGTTCCACATTTTTTTTCCATTTCTTGATTCCATATATATTACCCTGAGGTTTCTGTTACACAGATAAAGATACTGCATGGCACTGCAAATAAAAAGACAATTCCTTATTGTTCGGATGTAACACAGACTTCATTGTACCATTCAACCCTTTGTTTATTCTTGTTGTATTTTGTGAAAGACCCTGGGTGAGTCCTCCTAAGATTATTGCTTATTTATGTGTAGCAAATCCCATGCATTCTCATGATCGCTTCTTTAGTTATTCCTGGTCATTAATCTATTTCCACAATATAATTCATTGCTGCTTAGTGTTTACCACCCAATTTTGAATTTATGATTGAAGTGCTCCTTTTTATCCTTATAAACAAATTCCAGACCACTTGACCATTGAAAGTGTGATTACCTATGATCTATGGAATCCAAGAGTTTCATTCATGAGTGTCAGTTTGCTAAAGTTAGGTAGAAAGATGATGTACTAGAATTATTTCCTGTTTCATTTATACCTTTTAGGTCTTTCCACCAGGGCAACCCACTTTCTTTTGGATTATTGCTGATCCCCACAATATTATCATTACTGTCAAGACACTGTATTATGTTATCCATCATGAAATATAATATACAATAACAGAAGTAATAACACTTGTAGATCTTGACTGAGGTGGGAGGTCTATGGTTATGTGACATGGGCAAGCAACTGGCCCTTATGGGCTCCACTGAATAGTACCCCTCATTTATTTAGCTTTGTGTTCTTACTTATTAAACAAACTTTATGCGTTATCAACAAGGACTACTGACAGATGCATTTGGCTTTGTGTTCATGTAGAAGGTAAGGTAGTTGCAAGAAAGCATTGCGGCAATTGTGCTACATTGGTGTGCATTGGCCTTCACTGCCATCTTATATCAAAGCCAGGGAGCCAAGTGTTGTTTAAGCAACAGGCTGGTCACAGGTAGGCTATGTGAGTCTTGGTATCCTACCAAAGACAATGTCTCATTTGGATTGCGTGGTGGAATTTTTAAAGCATTTGAAACACAAATAGGACCTGTTTGTAATAACACATGAAAGTTTACCTGGATGTTTGTGATTTCAACCTTCAAGGCTGGCAAAGACCCTTGGTCATCATGGGAGACAAAATTGATTTCCTGTGTAAATGTGTCATTTCTTACATGACTTATTATTTTTCTTTATTACTGATTGAGTCAGGATTAATAAGTGCTCTCTTTCTCTGCCAATATAAAATGTATCTTTCATTTACAAAGTTCATCTTACACTTGAAGACACAGAATTTACCAGAATCTATCAAACTATCTATTAACAATTTAAATAAATATACAGCTGTGTTCCATTAGTTCTCAATAAAATTATGTCTTTGTTTCCGGTTTCAAGATCTTACTTCTTTAGCTGCCTTTGAATATTTTGAAGGAGCTGCTGCATATCAGCAGTTATTAAAGCTATCAATAAGTACAACATATTTTAATTCATAGATATTCTTTATTTCAAAAAACATCTTAAAGCGAAATCAGAGGGAAAAATTTTGATTGAAAAATATGTAATGTTCCTGGAAAATGTCTATAATTTTTAAAGAAACATTATTTTAGAAGTATATTAACATCGACAACTTGGAAAAAAACATGAGTATATTTGTGGTCATCAAGATAATTCATTGAAAACATGCTGACCTTTTCATAATAACTGTCTCTGCATATTTACATGGGTATTGTACTTTTGGCACATATTCAAAATGGAGATTGGACATTTAAGTTGTTCAAAATGAAAGCAAAAACATTTAAGATGTAAGCAATAATAGAGAATTATGGAAAAGAATGAAATACAGGAGTAACATAAGGAAGAAATATGTTTGACCCTCTAAGAAAGGCTACCAAATTCTTTAACATATGAACTTTCACGTCACTGTAAAAAACAAGTGGGTAATCAAAATACTGCCAAAAGTTACATTTGCCAATATTGATACATCAGACAATAATATAACACAATAAGAATGAACATGAAAACGTGTATAGAGTTCATGAAGACCATGAGATGAATAGGCCATAAAACACAAACATAATGTCATGGGCAGCAATGAGTAGCAGTAATCACCTAGACACATGACACAACCAAAACCAAATGATGACAGCGAGTACTTAACTTTCAGCTCAGGTGAAATGTTCAAATGTATTTTTTTAAACATACTTTGGATTTTTACCTGGAAATTTAAAATCATATACTGAACTGTTTTCTCATACTTTATTTGGTAAGTGACAAATGAACAAATGCTTTACATGAAATGCATGTAATTACTTCCTATGTGTATATTTTTTAAAAGGAATAAATAGTCCAAATTCACTTCAACTCATTTATCCACCATAGTTTTAATGTTGTTCCTGTACTAAGAGCTCTTTTCAGGTAATCAATACAAAATTTACTAGTTCACATTCTCTTGTTTCGAAATCAATTTTATATGGCCAGTATGTTAAAAACAAAGACATTGTGGACAGCTGTTTGAACATGGGGAGTTAGGCCATATACATAAGGCTAAACTGAACAGCACACACCCTGATGGGTTGGAGCTGGATTGCTCCTTTAAGTCTGGAACTAGCCCAGTTTTGTGCAGAAGGCCAAAGGTAGAGAAGAGAGACACGATCCTAGAGAGAATTCAATATACCCCAAATGCTAACTTGTAAAATTTCTATTATAGTGTCAATAAAAATGCACAATTCTCCTTTTTCACAATTCCAAGCATTAGATGCAGATACAAACACACTGATCATATGTGTAATCAAACACATACTCAAGATTACTTCAAAACATTTGTGGAGTTAGAATGAAAAGATGAACTAATTTGGGGAAATTTTTATACATCCAGTCATATTTTTTCATCTTATTTTTCATAAGCTTTCTGAATCCTCGTTGTATTTATAAAAATATTTTGAGTGATCACATAAAGAACTATTTATGATACATCAGTTGATAATTCTGTGAGTAATAGATGGGTTTGATTTATAGAGATATTTATAATCAATTTCTGAAAACTATTAGAATTTATCATTAATAAAATGGAAAGCCTTTTATTTCAAATAAATTGCTCTCTTTTAAACTTAATAGCAACCATCTCTAAAAGGAACTCAGCATAATACAATTTGCTCCTAGTGATGGAAAATCAGAATTCTCATTTGTATTTGTGTTTTTTAAAAACAAGATTCATTTAAAATTGTAAAGAGCTAATAGGAATAGCAACCATTGATTAAGTCATTAGGCTGAGCACAGAGACAAGAAACCTTTCAAGTGCTACAGGGCTTTTTTCCTTGCTTTAGACCACTCAAATCTGAGATATCATCCACCAGACCTCATCAGGGATATGCAAAGATTTACACGGCTTATTAAATCTGTCCGTGGAATGGCTCTCTGTTGTAAATAAACATTTTTATATGATTCCTTTTGTTAGCAATTCTTTTTAAAGTATCTTGTCTTCTAGGCATTTTTCAGTAACTCTGACAAAGTTGATACAAAGTGTCAATCTATACAATGAGTAGAAATTAGAATTATGCAGTCCAAGCACCATGGCTCATTGGCTAAGTCCTCACCTTGCATTCATCAGGATTCCATCTGGGTACTGGTTCATGTCCTGGTTGCCTCACTTTTCATCTAGCTCCCATATTACCTGGGAAAGCTGTAGAGGTTGGCTCAAAGCTTTGAGACCCTGCACCTACATGGGAGACCTGGAGAAAGCTTCTGGCTTCAGATCAGCTCAGCTCTGGCCCTCGTAGCCAATTCGGGAGTGAACCAGCAGATGGGAGATCTTTCTTAGTGTTTCTCTTTGTCTCTGTAAATCTGATCTGCCTTTCTAATAAAAATAAATTATTATTAAAAAATTAAAAATTATGGTTTGCATTTTAAAGTAAAGAACTCTTAATTTTTGCTATCTTTCTGCTTGAATTGAATAACTTGTCTTTGCCTAATGTCTGGGGAAAGCAAAAGTTGGTTATAATAATCAGAGCAGTAGTTCTCTAGGTGTTCATTTCTCTGTCTCTCTCATGTTCACTCTAGAAGATGGGAAAGAACAGATTCTGCATAAAGTTAAACAGGCATGAGCAAGCCATGTTTGAGCAGCCACCCTACACCAACAGTCAGTCAGCTCCTGCTTCCTCTCTACTTCACACCCAAGAGACGTCACAGAGATCTGACTTCATCTGACTTAATATTAACAGGAATTTGTAAACTAAACCCTCTGATATTGGCTATCTTATTTTTTAAAAAAAGTGTTAAAGTTGTATGGCAAAGTGAAAGAAGCTGTTGTTAGAATCTGGAAAAAATGGAAACTAGATTTGATGTCCTATCAGTGGAAATACCAAATCGCTGATCAGTATACACACAGCCGTCTTCTTCGTCTGCGTAATGGGGAGAATGAGCTCCACCTTCCTGTCGCACACAGCAAAGGGACAGAGCATACATATTGCCTCTCACACAGTGAGTACTCCATAACTAATTCTTCTTACTTTTTCCTTCTCCCTTTGAAGTGCATTTAAAAAAATTAACTAAGATATTCAGGCTCACATCTAACGTATAATTATTTTCTGTGTTCTGAATATGAAAGTTAAATTAGAGATGTTAGAACAAACAAAGATGGTGTTATCTTTATTTGAGGTGTGCCTCAACTCCATTCTCTTGCATAGGAGCCCCCTTGACAATCACTGCAAGTCATTCATGAAACCAAGACTGATCACATTAATTTCCACACAACGCCCTTCTTTCATTCCTAAGGCAATGCCCTAAGTGAGAAATTTTAATATCTAACAGGATGTTTCCAAATTAGTACGACAAAGCTAATGATACCTTGTGGTCGTGGTACACAGTGGCTTGCAGCCTGGGAATGACAGCTGATTGAATGTCAGCAAGCAGAATTGAGCAAATTTGATGCTGGTGACAAAATCTGGTTTTACCAACAGCATCTGTGATATTCTACATAAAAGTAGGGTGGAAACACTGGGTAACTACTGAAAAAGAGGAAGGAATTGTACAAACTGAAACATGCAAAAACACTTAGAAGGTTTGGAAAATTCAGTTTTTGATTAAATCTTGTTGAAGATACCTACATATCTTGTTAAGAAAAAACAATATTTAAGGCAACTTATTGAAAACTCTGATGTCCCAAATAAAACCTCTATTGAGGAAATATGAGCTGATTAGGTCCTTAATGTGTGCCACTCAAGGATTTAATATTAGCAATACCATTGACTCCGCAGTCTTTACACCATGATCTCAGGCTTCTGAAAACAAAATTTTAATGGCAATGCTGGAAAAAAAAAGTGTGGCGTATTTCACAATTAGTGCATACTCTCAGGATTAGGCTCTTTCTCATTCCTAGTTAGTGATTAATTTCTGGCACACTGGCATCATTGAGTGAACACATGGTAACAACAGTTTTGAAATTTTACCCAGGAACAAACATGTCATGTTTGGAAAAAATAATCCTTTGTTTGGTGTATTGATAATACAGATCCAAATATAGATTGATGTTGAGTGTGTCAAAGTTTGGAGAAATGCATGTTAAATAGATTGTGTAGTCTTGTAAGAAGAACATTCAAATTTCCTCAGCCGGTATATCCAAAGGTGAGCATATTCAAAGCAAAATTTATCATTTCCTGAGCAAAGAAGTTGACTTTTCTTTGTGAGAAGTGTTTTTGGATAGCAAGATAGGCAATAGTCCTGAGAAAGATAATCTCACTTTTGTTTGTAATTACATGAAGAATAACAGAGGCAACTGTTCCACTTGGTCAGTAATTTAATTAATTACTGATTTGGGTTTTTGGTTTTTTTGTTTTGTTTTGTTTCTGTTTCTTTACATAATATGGCTTTTTAAAGAATAATTTTCACATCACCTATTCTCTGATCTCAGCTACAATAATCTATTATTTGAAAATATATCTTAAGTACATTATAAATGTGCATTTTTTTCTTCATTGCACCCTTAGCTATAGTTCTACTTCTCACTAGCTAGGAATAAAAATGAAGTATGAAATAACAAGTCAGAACTAAGAATGATCAGTTTTACCACAACTATAAGTTAAACTTCCTAATTATAACAAGAGTAGGGCATTGCACCCTCCAGGGACCCTAATCTAGGACAGAGGGCTGTGAGTTTCTAACTCATACCATGTGGGCATATGTGTCTAGCTCAGGTATCTGATGCAGGAGAATAATCCCTGGCTCTGGAGAGCAGAATTATAATCCTGATTCTTTTATTAAATGGCCTATAATTTTTAGACAGTAGTTAGTCTTCTGGGCATCATTTTGTTGTTGTTGTTGTTAACAAAGCAAATGTAAATACATTCTACTTACTCATGTCCCTTGGCATACATAAATATTGGCATACTTTAAATTAGAGGCTCAATTTAAACAAACAAATGAAAAAAAGAACTTTCCCCAAATGTGTCTAGGTGTCATTGGATTCACACTGAAACATTTGTTACTTCTGAAGTATTGGTTCTTTCTGTCCCAGTGGCACTAGAACTCATTTCCATATAATGAAGTAGGGGATATACATGGTGAACTACTACGAGCCACAAAAATGAATAAAATCCTTTCTTTTTGCAGCAAAATGAATGCAGCTGAAAGCCATTAGACTAAATTAAATAAAGCAGTCTCGATAAGTCAAATACCACACATATTTTCTCCTACATGGCAGCTAATACTGTATACAAAAGATGCTTTGCAATATGATTGTTATTTTTAACCCTGTTTATACTCTTGTGGCACTGTGATCTTCCTACTTTTTGCCTGTTAATATTCTGATTATGGCCAAGTTAAGCCTGTGCATATAGAATAGATTAAAATTATGTCTTTGCAAAACCTGATGAAGAGAGGAGAAAGGGAGGAATATTGAAGATAAGCAGGAGAGGGATAGCAGTGTGGCTATCTTCTTGGAATTGTACCTATGGAATGCAAAATGGCTCTTCTCTTTAGATTAATGCAAACATTTTTAAAACTTTCTTCTTTGCTCAAGTTCACGGCAACTTTTTCTTGGCTCCCTGCCAAAGGGTTGTTCACTTCATTGTCTTTCCCTTCATTATACTTCCTTCACTATCTATGTTTTGAATTTTTTTGGAATCCATTTTTAACATGCTTCGTCTTCATGCATACTTATAAATTCATATAATATTTTATTATTTTCACATCAGAGAAACAATATTTTCATTGCTCTGTTTCTGCTTTACTCACACTAAATCCTTTCATTTGGGGTTGTGAAAAGTGTTTTCTAATTAATTGTATTTTTGTCACTATGATAAGTTGTGACTCAGCTGCTTTTTTCTTTGCTTTTTTTAAGCATTCATGAATGTTAGAAATATATTAACGTGGTGACTTTTTAAATCACAAAGTAAGCCGAAACATTCCTAGAACTGACATTTCCTTCCTCTCCTAAAAAACTTTTTCACTTCCTTAGACTGTGAAAAACCATTATTTGACATCCTAGATGAAGGAGGGTCTTTGACAGTTGATCAATACCAATGCAAACTAGTCCAGAGGGATGTGAGCAGGACGATAGCTCTGCTATCAATGGAAGGCTTTCTGTCTAGACAAACTCAAGAACTTTTCTTTCAAAAATAGCAAATCAAAGACTTAGTGCTCATTGAGTATGCTTCCTTGTGAGTCGAATGAACTGGATATTGTAAAACACAATCATTGTGAGTATCCTTGTGCTTCTCCAAGTGGCCTGTATTCATTCCTGCTTACCTGTTGATAGAGATGGGGCAACTTGCAGAAACAGTTTCCACATAGCATGGGAAACATAGTTTAGAAGGCCACATGGTATTATAGAAGGACTCCAACCCAATGCCAGATTGTTTCCCTGAGTTATGTTTTGGAATTCCAAGTATTATGGTGTTTTAAAATCTTCCACTCAAATGCTCCTAAAATAAAAAATTTAAACAACCATGGAGAAATACAGTGATCAAGTTCATTGCTATTTTCACAGTATCTAAGAGATTAATGAGATAAAAAAAATCAATTCTTCACTCTTCAAAATACTTTTCAAATTTCCACTTTTGTTGTGGCTTCTTTGCATCACAAGCAGCTACATTCAGGGTCTTCTGAGAAACATTTGCTTCCAAGCATAACAACTGATGATAGTTATCAAAAACAATGTGATCCATCTAAAAAGAAAAGAGAATCTGGGAATGAGTCACAGGCTCCATTTGAGGGTTGAAATAAAAAGACCTACAAACCAGGGAAAAAGTGAGGCAACTGAATTTTTTGAACCAATTCTATCCTGCACAATACTTTTGGCATTGTTGACTCAAACAAATGAAAACAGAAGAAAAAATAATGATTGTCATACAACAGTAACAATCTACTGACTAATATTTAAAATACTAGTTTGAAATAGCCTTTGTAGAAGAAAACAATTTACAATGAAAAATGTTTTTCTCTCTGTGCGAGCTTCTACACCACCTCTACTGGCACGAATACATGGAAAGCTTCCTCACTCACGAGCTCACCAGGAGAGTTTTATATCCCATTTGATTGACAGTTGAGTTTGTGGTAAAGAAGGGGTACACAGATTTTGCTTACCAGTTTTGGGTGAAAGGCTGATGTTGATTTATGCAGCCATTTTATCCCTTTGTTTTTATTATTGCAAAGGTTCAGGTTTAGGATTCCTTTGTCAGGAATGGAACTCAGACACCATTCTCCATGCTTGATAAATCTTAACCAAGTGTAATTAAATTGTTGAAACTACAGGGAAGAATGAATAAAGAGAAGGTCACTCCAGAGAGCAAATAAAGGTAAGGACTCTGTCATTTTTTTTTCTTAACAATGGATCATGCAAAAGGTACTTTGATGCAGCATGGTCAAATTCCAATCCTTCCACTTTTCATTGTGATTAATATAAGCATTCACTCTGCCTGCTCATAGTTTTCTTGTTTTCAAGATAGCATCTCTCTCAGAGGGTTGGGGTCATGACTGTAAAATGTTTTAGACTCAGTAAGCTTTCAATGCTTCAATGAATGCCAGTTGTGGCAATCAGTGCAATCAGTGCAATCAGTAAGTCTGCATGTGATGTCATCTCAGGTATTCTGAATCCCCAACAACACTTAGTTCCTACAGTATTGGGATGTTCAAAGCACCAAATGATTAAGGTTCCAATTCATGAATGATTTCCAGGAGACTCCAGACCAAGTTAAATTTCTCTAGGGAAAATGTTTCTGCTCCCTTGTTTAAGACTGTATAAACACTCAGGCTTTGTTCTATTTGTAAGGAAGATTACCCTTGCTGATAGCGACAGGAATTACGAAGTTGCCACTAGGTCAGCATCGACCAGTTCATAGGAACTGCTATTTAAAAAATGTTGCTAGGTATTTAGTGTCTGAAAAAATATAAATCTGGACAATAGAACCACATTTTTAATTATTCACAATATTCTATCGAGTTGTTCATAGTCTTCTAACATCTATCAGGTCAGTGTACTTTAAGACTCTGGGTCATGGAAAATTTGATGTTTTATACTAATGCAGAAATAGTTAGAAAAACAAGATTGCTAGTAAAATGTATCTGAATGCATTTTCATAACGAATCATGCTTAAGGTAATTCAAATTTAACACGGAGTATCAGACTAAATTGAATTATCGTGTGTCCACTGGTACATGAATGATAATCTCTGGACCAATACCAACATCACCTGGGAGCTGGTTCACAGTGCAGTATATTAGTTTCCCCAGAGGTTTATGAAATCAGAGTTTGTATGGTAGCAATTTCCCCAGGTGATTAGTGTGCAGAAAAAAAACTGAACATCATGGTTGAACAGCATTGTGATAAGAAGTGGTGTTACTGGAAGATGTTTGAGGTTATCTTGAAAAGGGACGTTTCAATTTGTTTTAAAGTTCATGACTGAACTAAAGTTAAAAAAATTACAGCACCATAGAATTAAATAGCATGCGATGTGTCAATGAAGAAATGAAAAAGAAAACAAACCTTCTTGGAGAAAATGATGTCACTGTGTGATCTATGAGTCACTGAAGAATTTAATAAGACAAAGCAAACTATTTCGGATGAAAATAAAAACAGAAATATCAAAATCCATGGGCTGCAGCATAAAGAGTATCGAAGGGGTTATTGATTTTATAATCAGCATGAAGTTTGGCTTATACCAGAGAGAATACATAATATTGTCCATTTGGGATTGGTTTATTTCACTGAGCATAATGACCACTAGTTGGGATCATTCAGTTGCAAATGGTAGAATTGCATTCTTTTTAATAGTTGAGTATTACTCCATGGAGTAGATGTACCATGGCTTCTTTATCCACTCCTCTTTGGACAGGCACCTGGGGTTATTTCCATGTGTTTGCTACTGTAGATTGTGCTTCTATAAACAGATGCCTTTCTCATGCAGATTTCATTTCCTCTGGATGTATTTCCAAAAGTGGGATAGTGGATTTTACAGCAGGTTTAATTTTCAGTGTCTCAACACTCTCCACACTGACTTTCAGAGCGGCTATACTGGCCTACATTCCAACCAACGGTGAAGGAGGATGCCTTTCTCCCCACACCAAAGGATGTTGCTAGTAGATTTCTGAATGTAGGCCAACCTCACTAGAGTTAGGTGGAATCACAATGTGGTTTTCGTTTGTATTTCCCCGATGGCTAGGGAGCTGAGCATCTTTTCATGTGTCTATTAGCCATTTGATTTTGTTCTTTTGAAAAATGTCTGTTCATTTCCTTTGCCCATTTCTTCACAGGCTTGTTTGTTTTGCTGTCACTGGGTTTCTGAAGCTCTTTGTAAATCTTGGTTATTTGTCCCATATCAGTTGTGTAGTGTGCAAAGATTTTCTCCCATTCTGTTTGTTGTTCCTTCACTTTGTTGATCATTCCCTTTGCTGTACAGAAGTTTTTAGTTTTATGTAGTCCCATTTGTTTATTTTGGCTTTGACTACCTGTGCTTTCGGTGTCTTTTCAAGAAGTCTTTCCCTATTCCTATATCTTGGAGAGTGCTTCCTATGTTTTTGTCTAATAGTTTGATGGTTTCTGGGTGCAGATTTAGGTCCTTGATCCATTTAGAGCTGATTTTTGTATGAGGTGATAGGTGCGAGTCTTGCTCTTTATCTCTGCAGTCTGCTAATCAGTTGTCTCAATAGCGTTTGTTGAAGATACCAAGCTTTTTCCCTGGATTTTTTTTTTTTTTCAGTTTTCTTGTCAAAGATTAGTTGGTTGTACATGTGTTGGCTTTCCTGGGGTTTCTATTCTCTTTCATTGCTTTTCTTTTCTGTTTCTCCACAGTACCAGCCTGTTCTGATGACCATTGCTCGGTAGTCCTTTTTGAGGTCTGGAATTGTTGATTTTTACTTTTCAGGATAGTTCCTAGCAATATGAACCTTAAAGGCTTAAACTATGTATTATTCTTCCTTTAAATAATTTGATTGTGATTTGGTTTTGTAAGTTGTGACTTCACTTTCTCTTTGAGATGTTAATGAGTTAAAAGTATTTCTTTCAATTCATTGTTTAAGAGATTCACTACCCTGTCTCATCTCTTCCTAATTAAGAAACCATTCTTTTGACTTCATGTTGACGATCCATAGCTAAATTGTAACAGATATGTTTTTCCTTCTAGTAGCTGCGTTGAACTTAGAGGGAGCAATGGAATGGAATTGAAAAACTAAGCATTATCAAAGCAAATCAAAAAAAAAAAAAAGACAGCTAATTTATTATTATTTGTCTGTTGAAGAATGAACTAGTCACACATCAGCATTCCAGTGAGTTCTATTTGGCACCGAACCCAGGTAACTTTTCCCACAGAATGGACAAATGTGAGGGAACATAAGTTGGAGAGGGACATGTGATCATCTGTGATCACTCAGACCTCACTTCCAGCACAGTGTAAGCAGTCTGTTCTGGTCTCCCTGAATTTGCTTACTGTGCTCTGAGTCTGTGGGGGCTTTGCTGCAGGGTAGTCCACCACGGATCATGGGTTGTGTGGTTTCCATTACTATGCTAACATGCAGCAGAAGAATGGATGGGATGGGGCAGGAGGGAGGTAGACATCAGAGAAAAAAATTTCTCCCCAATTGAAATGATCTAGACATGTGTTTTATTTATTGGGTTCCCCTTTTATCCTTTTTTTTCTTTTTTACGTTTGTCTTAATGGCATTGTGCAAACACTTACAGAGCACTGCTTGAAACTTAGGGTTTAACGTGCTTTACATGTGTTACCTAATTCTACCATCTCACCAGCTGAAACGGTAGGCAATGCCATATCTACCATTTGTTAAAGTACAAAGGGTTTGTGAAGGATAACACAGGTTTTTAAATAAAGAAACTGGCACTGGATTTTTTTCTGCTGCTAGTGTGTTGACTTTACTTTCTTTATGATTATTTACTTAGTCTCTGTCTTTGCATTTAGTAGTGGATCCTTTTAACACTAGCTGTGTAGGTACCAGGACACTTAGATATTAACTATAGGTTTCTATTGGGCAAAAGTAAATTCCTCAAGTGAACATGGAACATGTCATGTACTCATGCTGTCAACTCCCTAGAGAAAAAGAATTTCAGCTTGGCTTACCTTGCTGCTCCCATCACAGTCTTCCAGAATGGCTGTGGTGTTTTCAATGCAGATGCATTTTCCTGAGGCCACATTAATAAGCTAGGGAGCAAAATAGAAAATACAAATTAAAGAAAGATGTATTTGAAAGTAGAAGAAGACACACTGATGCATCTAGAAAACATAGAATATAAAACTGTAATAAGATTAAAAGATAGTTAATAGCTCCACATTTCTTAGCACTTGAGGATTTCATTGGTTGCTATCTCTAACAGAAACATAATGTAATCTTGCTAAACTACAGCTTCAATCTGTCAGTTTAGGCCTATGATTCAGCCACAGAGCCAAGAAACAGAAGCTGTTAATTAACCCTTGCCTGGAATACTAAACATTAGATGAATAAAAGCTGGAATAAAAAGTAATTGCTCTTGTCTCAAGTTTATCTGCTGCATATATTAAAAGTCAGTGCACATCACATTTGAAATTCCATCAAATCAAAAACTATGGCTATGCTCCCTGCTTGACCCTTTCCAGCTATTTGACTGCTTAGGCTCTGAATCATAGATAAATTGAATCCCTCAAAGAACAGCTGATTCCCACCGATTCCCTATCAAGAGCTGCCTAATGATTCAAGCAAGCAACGGACAAAACTAACATAGCCAGGTGTAAAGGTACTTTCTGGCAGGTCCTCCTACTTCCAGTCTGAAACTGATTCACAAGGTCAAACCCAGAGGTAGCTTTCTATAAATCACCATTTAATGTAGAAATATGTTGACTCATTTACCCCCTTTCAACTCCTGGACAGAGCCAATGAGATGGTAGGTTAAGATATTCAGGATAGGCAGATTTCTGGGGAAAGTGTATAGTGTCAAAGCTACAATTTATGTTCCAGGAATGCTTCCAGAACTGGGGTTGGGGGGAGTTGTGTGAGATTTTGTTTCCAGGGTGCTATCTGTGCGTCCTGATCCCATGGTGCCTATCACAGAGAGCTGGCTCACGTGCTCCAACCAGGCAGGCTGTGGAGCTCACAGGGTTGACAGACTTGTAGCAGTGGCTCCATAGATGGGTCCATAGATGGGTGTCTACCTTCACATTCATAGTTCAGCTTGCAAAAACATAAGCAGCTTCTTCATAGAACAGAAAATGTAGGACAAACCAAAAGCCAGAGACAAGACGGCGAATGTTACTCAACACGGGCTTGTCTCTTCTTCAGGGAGACAGAGACATTGGGAGAAACAATGAGCCATGCAGAAGTCAGAAGGTTGGAGTTAGGGCTACCACATAAAAATAGAAAGCCCAAGAGTTAGATCCTCGGTGGGTCAGTGCACCAGGAAAATCAGTTTCTCCATTTGCACAGGGAGACCAGAAGGAAGCAAGGCATTCCCGAAACCTTACACTGACCTTAAAATTTACACACTTGTGTAGTAACTCTTACTAACCTTCAAGGAATAGATGCAAGTATTAAAAATAGTACCAGGCTGGGGGCAAGTATTTAGCTTAGAAGACACTGGTTAATATGCCAGATCCTTGTCAGGATGTGTGGATTTGGTTTGTGGCTCTGGTGCCAGACTCTAGCTTTCTGTTAATGCAGATGCTGAGGAGCAGTGGTGAAGGTTCAGGACACTTAGGTTTGTGCTATGCATGTGAATTCTTGACTCCTGACTTTAGCCTCATTCCAGTTCTTGCCATTGTGGACATTTGAGGAATTAATCTTTCCTGGTCCTGCTGTGGCTCAAATAACTGATGTTTAGCATACTGAATAGCACAAAGCAGTGCTAGAATGAGAGTCTCCATCAATATTTCTCCAAGAAAGCTGCATTTGCAATTTGTTTATTAATTTTTAAAGATGTATTTGTTTATTTGAGTTAAAGGAAGAATTAAAGATTGAAAGAAATATAGAGGAAGTGATTTTTTATCCTTTGGTTCACTCCCCATCCAACCACAAGGCTGAGGCTGTGCCAGACTGGAACCAGAAGCCTAGAGTTTTTCCAGGGTCTTACACATTGGCAGTAGGAGCCCAATCACAGAAGATGGACTGTCTTCTGCTGCCTTCCCAAGAGCATTAACAGAGAGCTGTATCAGAAGTGGAATAGTCAGGGACTCAACCTCAAAACAACTCCCATTTGGGATACTGGCACTGCAGGTGGTGGCCTAGCCAGCTATGCCAAACTCCAAACCCTGGACCCTTCCATTTGCAATGAAAATCACAAATGTGAGAGGGAACCATCCACTATTGGTAAATCTAAACAGTTACAAAGCTTACATAAATTAAAGCACAGCAGACTTCAAGGAAGAGAATAGAAATGCATGAAATAAAATAATGTTGCAGTATAAAGACAGGAATGTGTGCTCTAATTCTTCTGAGGCCCTTAGCAGCAATGAAGAGAAGCTGGTGTATTCGTGGATTGTGCAGATCCTATCTTTAAACAAGTTTGGAAAACTCAGATCCCAACAGAGCTGAAAAGGCTACCCTACTCCAAACTCGGGTTATTAATGCTCAGTTTATGCTTCAGAATGTAATATATTTTTTCAAATCTACTTGGTTCCGATAGTAGCACCAGTAACGTTATTCATCACAGTGTTTGGAAACCTGTAGCTTACTGAATTTCTTTGTTTTTAATTCACACAATTTAATTCCTTCCTCTGAACACTGAAAGGCACTAGGAGGAAATAGAAAACTCTGTTTTGTTTCACTCCTCCATGAAACTTCCCTTCTTTCCTTGATTCTCCTACTGGAGAATCCCTTTTTCTTTATAAAGAAATGTTTTTTGCAAAATGCTAAGAAATTATTAGCTTTAATTTCATTTGAAATGTTTTGATTTTTTTTATTTTAAAGTCTTATGTCCATGTTTTTATTGCAAATAACTTCAACTGAGATTTTTAAGTTAAACCAATTTTGACTTATCTATGTTGAGTTATTTCATTTTCCAATTTAGGAGCTGTGAATTCCTATGGGTTATTACAGTACAGAGTTGCTAAATATTAGGTAAGATTTTTTGTTAATAGTTTAATCCACTGCAAAAATAAATTATTGCATGCTATTTTTAATTTTTTTCCAATGCTTGAAGTTGATTGAGAAATTCTTTGCTGTCATTAAAAAAAATCAGATATTTAAATTGCTATGTATGTAGGTTATAAGATGGGAAAATGAGAGAAAAGAGGGCATGCAGTTTGTTTTCTTGAAACTTCAAATTGTCTAATATAGCATAATGGTATAGTTAATATTATCCTCCATTAATTAGAGATAAACCCCACGTTTTTATAGACTAGTAGCAACACTACTGGCTGTTACAAAAGCAAGTGGCAAAATTATTAAAGTTTGTCTAAGCAAAGCAGTAAAAAATGAAAAATAGAAAAGGGAACTTGTTTGAAATCACTGTTTAGGGGCAAGCATTTGTTGCAGTACTAAAGATTTTACTTTGGGAATAGGGGTGGCTAGTGTTGTGGTATGGCAGGTAAAGTGGCTGCCTGCAAAGAAAATATTCCATATCGCCAACAGTTCATATCTAGCTGCTTCACTTCCGATCCAGTTCCCTGCTAATGACCCTGTTAAAGTAGAGGAAGATCGCCTAATGCTTCGGCATGGCACCGACAAGGGAGATCTTGAAGAAGCTCCTAGCTCCTATGCACTGGTTTTGCACTGGTTCGGCTGTTGCTGCCACTGGGGCTGTAAGCTGAAGGAGGAAAGATCTCCTTTCTGTCTCTATGTAATTCTGCCTTTCAAATAAATAGACACATCTGCAAAAAACAAACAAACAAACAAACCAAAAAAGACTCCTCTTGGTGCACCTGAATCCCACATCATGATGGCTGGGTTTCAGTTCTAGCTCTGGTTCTGATCCAAGCTTCCTGCTAATGTGCACCCTGAGAGGCAGAAGGCGATGATTAAAATGCGTTTGGATTCCTTCCACCACTGTGGGAGACCTGGATTGGGTGCTTGGCTCCTGCTTTTGGCCTGGAACAACCAGGGCAAGTATTGGATGTGAATTGGTGGTTACAAAATTTCTCTCTCCTTATCTATTTCTGTCCTTCTCTTTCTCTATGTCCTTCAGATAAATAAAAAATAATCCTTAAAAATATTTATTGTAGTTCAGGTATCAGCAGAAGGCAGTTTTATCAGGAGAGCTGTTAAAAATTTTGTGGGAGTGCAATATTCAAGTTTAAAAGCTAGTTTTTAGTACCCTCTGGTGGTTAAAATTTAGTAATACAATCGCCGAGATTCTGTGTACAGAGGACAAGAAATTACTATGGCAAGAGTTCCATTATTCCCCTGCCCCACATACACACTTGAGGAATGGAATTAAGGCATACATTTATTTTACATATGTATTTCATCTGTTATTGTTTGAATTGTGTTTCTTCTGGTTTACCCAAGATAAAAAATAGCACTGAAGTCACTGAAATTGCTGCTAATGTATGGTGATCCTTTGGTACAAAAAGAACCTTCATAAGTGTTTTATTACATAAAAGTAAGCCTCCTAACACTTTTTTTGTCAGTAAAATTTTACAACAAGCAAGAACAGAACAAAGTAGCACACCAACTTCCTGTTTTCCACACCACTGCTAAATTTTGCTAATATAGGGGGCCAATCACTGAAAGTTCTTGCTGGCAGATGATTCGCAAGGTGCAGCTCAGCTAGTTCGCACTACTGCCTTTCTACAGGGAGTTGAAAAAAATGTGGTCCAGCAGAGCAGGTGTACCAACGACCAAGCCTGCCTTAAATGAAGAAATGGGAAAATGCGAAAGAAAACAAGAAAACATTGGGAATATTTATAAATCCAAATTAAAGTAGAAGTCAGAGAGATTGAAAAGAAATATAGGTTGAAGGGATCTGGCAGAGCCTGGGCTGCCCACCCTTACACCCATCCCTAGCAAAATGGCCTCATGTCTTCCCATTTTCTTCAAGGTGCCACTTCCGCTTTCCTCCACTTGTCTTCTGCCTTGATTTTGTCATTGCTGTGTACTCTCCCCAATCCCTCTAGTAATCTTTGCTACCCTACCTCATGTTCTGGGCTTTTATCTTCTGCTTTGTTGACTATTTCCATTATTGCCATTCTTTCTTTGTAAGTTTTAAAATGGCTTAATGAAATCTTGTCATTCTAGTGCTTAACTTTATATTCAGAAGGAAAGACAGGAGAAAGAAGAAAGTCAAGCAGACCTTACTCTGTCTAGAAGGACCTGTGTAATCTGACTGCTGCCTCCCTCTCCTTTTCTGCTCCTGTTATTCGTAGCTGTATCCTCACGCCCCGACAACAATATCCATCATTTGCTGCTCTGGAATGCCTCCTAATGTCACTGTGTTGTATCAGTTGCCTTCTCTGCCAAATGCTTGCTCTCTAGAAATGGCTCACACTTGCTGAGTGTAAAGCTTACTTCTTCAGAGAGAATTTCCTAAGCACTGCAGTGTAGAAGGATGTCTGGTTTGCAGTCATCTTTCAGATAGGCACTTGAACTTACCACACCGCTGGCTCTAACAATGGGAGCCTTTAAATCAGGAAAGACATTCTCCAAATACCACTTGAAACTTTTGCATTTCAGTTTCCTCCGAAGTTCCCTTTGCTGGGTGAGATTGCCGACATCTAACTCTTGCTCTATGAGATGATCACCATGGCCATAGAAGAGCTCCTTGTACTCATCCAGCCAGACTTCAGCCACTCGCACCAAGTTACGTTCCACTGTCTTTATCCGGTCTTTGGGGAAGGAGTATGGGTTGTCATTTCTGAAGATGTGGCCCACACGAGAGCAGGGGATGATCTCAATTTCACCTCCACACATCCATACCTGGAATGAATGCATGATGAGCACTGGTTTCCCACGATTCTCTATAAATTATTGTCAAAATGACCATGCTGTGGAAGCCCTGGTAACTTTGTATCCCGCCTGCTTGTAATAGTGTTCACAACTTTTGAAATACTCTGGTGCTAGAAAATCAAATCCAACAGCTTGGTCAGTTCTATATATTACTGTGCATCAATTTTGCCTAAACAAAATGTATTTTTTTCCATTTCTGTCATGCAATATATTGGATAGTTTTATTTCTAAAGACATCTTACAGAGCCCCCAAATATATAAACTCTATGACATAGGTTAATGTTTTCTTCAAAGCAGGGAAAGGAATATGGACCCCCCCACATTTCACTGCTGTCATCCTCGAAGAGCCTTAAGGATTCAAATACCAATCTTCTTGACCAGAAACTACAAAATCACAGCCCTCTAATTACAGACTACCTGGTACCGTCACACAGCAGTTGCTTTGTGGATGCTGTCTGTCACTGTTGTTCTTACATCTGCCTCATTTATTAACCCACAGTAGGAAGTGGACAAAGGAGCTGAGAGCCAGGATACACCTGGCTTGTGAGCGGCCTGCCTTACAGTGTTCCTTTGTTTTTCTGAAATTTGTATTCTTCAAGATGATCCATTGCTGAATGATTACATTAATTTGAATTAGTAGAGATGCTTCAGGAGAGTTATATCAAGTAGGAATTGCACAGAATCCCGCAGATTGGCAGAAAGTCATTTCTTCTACATATTACATACAGAAATGGTGTGGTGAATTGTTAGGACACTAGTAAATTTCATGCCCAGTGATTCTTCCAAGTTCTACAAGGACAGGAAAAGTAATCTAGAGACGCTAGAATTTCTACGAAATTTCTTCTTCATGTTCATCACATATCTGGTTGTAGTAATCAAATGAAGTCTTTTAAAAATGATAAACTCCTAATTATACAGAAAAGAAACACTTGGTCATACCTTGAAGGAAAGCTCCATATTTTCTCCACCCCAGACATCAAGTCCAGGGTCATATGTTCCAAGTTCAAAAAAATAATTTCTATCAATAGAAAATAATCCACCTGCCATTACAGGACACCTACAAGAAGAAAAGTAAAAAGTTGGTTGTTGAACCAGTCATCTCATGGGAGTTGAACCTTGAGAGTAGACCATCTGCATGTTAGAGTTAGAAATTTCAGGAGAGTTTCCTGGGGGAGTTTTGGATAGAATCACAAATAACTCTTCAGTGATGAGTTCTGTGCTTTGGTGCAGGGCTTGACTGGAAGAGCAAAAATGCAGCCTGGAGCAAGGGGTCTTTATTGTCTTTTATACTTTGACACAAACTATCCAAAAGGTTGTTTCTCACAGCACTTATTTAGGGCTAAGGGAGTACTAATGCTGTAAACACAATGTGTTTGTTCTCTTAGAATTTCAAAAATCACATGTGGTACTAAGAAATGGCAACACACAGGAAGACACCTTCCCAAAGACAACAGACTGCCATTTTATAATTTTAGAGAAAAAGCATATTGATTTATTTATGTTTATTTGGATGACAAGGAAAGAGAAGGAAAGGAACAGAGAGCACCATCATTCATGAACTGATTCCCCAAATGCCCTGAACAGAGACCAGGCCGAACCAGGAGCCAGGTCATGGCTCAGCTGCTATCTTTTCTTATTCTACTATCCTTTTTCCCAATTACAGCAAACTTGATAGCTTGTTATAGAGGAACACGACGATATTAAATACTTTGTATGCATTAGCTGATTGCAGTCGCAGTGTTAGAAATCGTGCAAACAGAAACTCAAAAATAGTTAGCCCTCCTTAGCAAGCTCACAGGACTAGCAAATACCTATTGAGAATCAAATGCAAAGAACATAACTCCAACCGTCAGTGACCATGGAGCATAGAAACTACAGTTCGGTCACTAGTTCAGTAAGGGGGTGAGCACTTCTGTGATGGCCACCACTGAGTCAATTGAAAGTGGTTTCTGTAGAGAACCTGTTTTGAATTTACAGTGTTAGAAATCTTATGGTCATAGTGAATCCTTGAAAGGAGTTAGTTGCTCTTCTCTCTACTTAAGTACGTATTCTATCCACACTGTAATTACCCTTCTTAGAATATTCAGAAATCATTCTCTTCCTGATATGTTGGATATAATCTGAACTCAACTACTATGTTGACCCTCGAGTTGGGAATCTGAAAAAAAGAAAGGCTTTTTAGGAGTAAGATTGGAACAAAAGTTTTAAATTCACGGGGGATAGGTATTTGACCTAGTTGTTAATATACTACTAGGGACTTGTGTGTCCCATATCAAAGCGTTGTAGTTGAAGTCTGGCTCTGCTATTGATCCCAGCTTCCTGCCAGTGCGAACGCTGAGATGAAGCAGAGGAGACTCAAAAATTGGGTTCCTGCCACCCACTTGGGATGCCTGCGTCAAGTTTCCAGCTCCAGGCTTTGGCCAGTTCATTATTTCACACATTAGTGAATGCAGCAGTGAATGTGCTCTTGGTGTCAACCTCTCTGTTTTCAGATAATTTAAGCATATAAATAACACATTAAAAAATAAATGAATAAATCCAGAGAGGTTTGGATTTGAGCCCAAAGATCCTTTCTGTGGTAGCTGCATAACCCTGGAAAAATCATTTAACTGGTTTAAATCTCAATTTCCTCCTTTCCCTAAGCAAAGTATGATCACCTCAATCCCTTGATTAGGAAAAGCAGTTTATCTACAGAACATCATGCACAATAAATGGTACTCCTTGGGGTTGTCAACTCTGATAACACACTTGGCCAGGATGCAGGAGTTATTTAGTGAAAGGTGGGCATAGAGAAGCACCCTGCAATGTCCATCTGGCCTGGCGTTCTTCTGGGAATTGGGAACCTGTGTGTGTGCTCAACATATCCCCAACAGGGAGTGTATCAGGATTCCTGCTGTGCTACAGGCTGAGGCCCAAGGGAAAGCACAGGAAACTCCAACTCTGGCTTCAGGCCTAAGCTCTGTTCTTCAGCTGAGCTTTTCCAATAATAAAGCACCAATTTAAATTCATATTCAGTTTCTATGTCTATTTTTCAATTCGTTCAAAGCATTTGGCTCTTGGCCCATGAAAGGTAATGATTAAAATACAAAGAAAACTTTAAACACAGATATTATTGTAATGATATTTCTATTACTATTATTTACCATTAATTTTTTTACTAATTATAATTTACAGGCAAAGGACAATGCTATGGAAGCCCTGGCAGCTTTATCCTGCAGGCTTGAAATAGTATTCTCAACTTCTGAAACACTCTGGTATTAGAAAATCAAATCCAACAGGTTTAATAAACGTTATATGTTGCTATGAATTGATTTTGGATAAATAAAATGGTTGCTTTAACATTATAAGTGTTTATAAAGCATTTGTGATACAGATTCAAAGTTTGCATTTTTTAGATTTCAAGAGAACAGGAATAGTGTTGGTGAATTTTTCTTGGTTTAGGGATGGATAGCGTGCAGCTGATCATTTTAAAAATATTTATTTTTTTCATCTTTTTCTTGGAAAGGCAGGGGTACAAGAGTGAAGGAGCAGCTGACAATTTTAAAATGAGTGTTTTTTTTATGGGGGCGAGGGAGAGAAATTTGGTGTAGTGTTGAAGATGGCTATATTCCAAATCAGAGTGTCTGGGTTTGAGTTCCACCTCCACCTCCGCTTCCAGCCTCCTTTCCTGGAGCATGGCAGGTGATGCCTCAAGTGCTTGGATTTTTGCTATTCTTGCAGGAGACCTGAATCAGCGTCTAGGCTCCTGGTGTCTGCCCAGCCTGGTCCTGGCAGTTGTAGGCTTCTGGTGAATGAATCAATGGAAAAAAAGATCTCTCTGTGTCTGTCTTTCAAATAAATAAAAATTAATAAATCATGGTTTTAAAAAAATGAGTTTTCACAGTGTGACACTTACTTTTTAGGAAAGTTTGTTTGATTTGTCAATCCAGGGGCCAGACCTGTAATTTTTGTTGTGTCGCGGAATGACAGCTCTTTTGTGAAATCCTTGCCACAATTTTACAGAAAGATCCATGATTGCTTCCCAGCCTTAAGTTTCCAACACTTACCTTATTATATCAGTTTCTTTAATTTTGTTTTTTGCAACAACATCTGGAGGGATTGTTCTCCAACCAAAGTTCATGGGCCACAAAAAGATGCCTCTTTGAAAGTTGTCCACGGTCATGTAACTAATCCAGAAAAGAAAACAAAGTTCTACCTGAGATAACCTCATCACATTGGCTCCACTACTTTTTCCAATGTTCGAAATAAGTTCTTTTTTAGATGATCTAACACTCAAAATTGCTTAATTTGGAGAATTGGCATTAGTGACAAATCAGCTGACTTGTTTCTTGAATTTATTTATTTAAAACATGAAAGTATTTCAAACATTTTGTGGGGAAATGGAATTTAAAATCGTGTTTATTTTGGTGTGAAAACTTTTTGAAATCTTTGCATAGTGTGTTGGTAATGGATACCCTTCATCAACTTGTTGAATATCTGTCAATGATCTGACTATTTCTGAGGAAGTAACAACTTAGAAGTACATAAAATGTTCCCCACAAAATGAAATGAAACTTTAGGAAAATAAATATTTTAGAGGTCACTAAATACAAAGGAGAAAGAAATAGTGATCAATACAATTTATTGATGTTTAGGATAAGAAATTGTGGAGACCAAATAGATTTTTGAACCAATGATTTGAACTCCAAGATATCAATTGTGTGTGTTTACTTATTTAGAGAATAAACTATATGTTTTACACACTTTAGGAACAACCCCAGGACTTTATGCTTTTATAGTTAATGCCCCAACAGCATCCTGTAGATTATAGCAGTATTACCTCATGTCTTTGTCATTGATGACTTCAATTACAGGACAGGCCACTTTCTTTCTACTTAAATATACTCTTTCCAGAAGTGGTTCCAACCACCCAACATTACATTCCACATGAGAGTCTAAGAATGTTAGCACATCACCTAAAGATTCAAAAAGGAACAACAACAAACATTGAAAACATGCATGTTGAGTATATGGAATGCATCTTTAACTTTGCTGGAGACTGCATCAGAAAGGTGATTGTAAACACAATAGCATTTTCTTCTCACCAAAATTTATGGTCCTTACAATTTCATTCCATAATGAGATTCAAGAAACTATGCTCCTAGACTCTGGCAGGGCAAGCATCATTAGCAGGGAGCTGCACTGGAAGTGGTGCAGCCCAGACTTGAACTGCCACTCACAGGGAGGCCAGCACTGGGGGAGGCAGCCTAATCTGAAGAGCAATAGCACTGGTCTCTTACGTGGAATCTCATGGTCAGTTGTGAAAGCTGATTCTGACAGAACTAGTGACAGAGGGCCCTCTCATTTTCAAACTTGATTCTCAGTCACTATCTCACCAATTCTAACATGACTTTAGAAGATATACTTCTCCATTATGACATATTTTTTCAGTGTCATTTCATTCTGTCCCTCTCTCACGCCCCCTGGGTCTTGGAACCAGGAAACAGAGGAACCTGCAGCAATGGGAAGATTCTTGCAGTTCCTCTGCTCTGTGCTGCCACTCAATGCCATCTCATAGAGAAAAGCTAAATGTTAGATGAATAAGCTTCTTTTCAATGTCACTGCAGTAATTGGTTAAGACTTAAAATGTTTCTCTAATTTTGGCTTATGGTGTTAACTGACTACCTCAATTTTTGACTGCTCAGCTCATCTCTTAATAAGCCTGTAACAACCTTTGATAGCATTGACAAAGTACTGATTCTCTGTTTGACTCTGTTGTGGGCATTCTGCAAAGTCGTCTTACAGAACCTTACAACAAATGTACAAAATAAGTCTAGTTTGTGTTACTATTTGAGAGGCAAAGAAACTGATGGACAAAGAACCCAAGTAGCTTTTCAAAGCTGCACAGTTCTGAGTGGCAATGTGGTTTTAGGAGATAGGTAGCTCATTCCACAGTCTATTTTGTCAAAAGAAAGAAGGCAGAAAATAGCACAACTTTCAGGATGGGAAACCCTAAAGAACAAGGTGAGAATAGTTGTTTGGATGAGATAACATTACTGAACTCTGTAAACTACCTCTCAACTACTGAGATTCAGAATATATTAACTACTTGGCCAAAAACGGAAGTTTTGGCTGACAGAAAATGGGCCACTTTAGCCAAGGTCTTGGTGGAGAATTTGCTGGAGAAGCCTCTTTAGACAGAGCAGCAGAATGTTACCTCCAACCCCACCCCCCCACAGCCCCCTACATTGGAGGAGAGCATTTATATCTCCTAATCATGTTTGATAAATCCAATTTTCAGAAACTTATAGCTTATGGCTATTATCCCCTGCTGTTCTAACTGTGTAAAGTACTTCAAAATATTCATTGAAAACTGAAACTTAGTGGCTGGCATAAAGGGATTAAGCCATTGCTTATGACACAGGCATCCCATATGACCACTGGTTCAAGTCCCAGTTGCTCCACTTCTAATCCGTCTCGCTGCTAATGCACCTGAGATAGCAGTGTTTGGGCCCCGCTCCCAGGTAGGAGACCTTGAAGAAGCTCCTGGATCCTGGCTTTGGACTGGCCCAGCTCCAGCCATGTGACCATTTGGGGAGTGAATCAGCAGATTGAAGATTTCTTTCTCTTTCCCCACCCCTCTTTAACTATACCGATAGAAAGAAAGAAAAGTAGAAAAATAGAATTTAAGTGTACCTTTATTTTGATGTAGAAATTTATGAAATGCCTATGGCTTACTCATAAAGTGAATTTTCCATGAACATATTTACAATTTCTTATATGTGTCCTCCTAATAATTATAAGCTGAAACTGTAGCCCCACCTGCCTCTGTCATGAGAGGTTGAAAAGTGGGAAAGGTCACGAAGGTGACCCAATCCCTGCTGAATGGGATTAGTAATCTTATTAATTTGTTCCTTCATCTTTCTGTCATCTGAGCTTCCAGCAACAAGGCATCCTTTTTGAAATGGAGATGTGTACTTCTCAGACACTGCATCTGCTAGTGCCTTGGTCTGCGGGTTCCCAGTCCTCAGAACTGTGAGCGATAAACATTACTTATAATTTAAATTGTGGAAGATAGTTAACTATAGCAACCTATATGGATTAAAACATCCTCCAAAGAGGGCCTTCATAGAACTCTTCCCTTCAGCCATAGTTAGGGAACGTGTACACTGCTTGCAAGGTCCATTTGGTTACAATAGCAATCATTTTCTCTCACAATGCATGCTATTACTCCATTCAAACTCGGAGTTTGAAGATCTTTCTCTTCTATACTGCTTGTCCCTGTGTTCACATGAGCCTATAGGGTCATATAGGCCTGGATAAACTTCCTCAGTCTCAGTGGCATAAGGATGGGTCCCTAAATCTGCCTTCACTTTTCACCTGGTCCACAGATATTGTCTTATTCCCAGGACCTGAGGGAAGCAGGTTCTGCCCGAATCTGTATGGTATTTCATATTGTTTTATTTGAGGGAAGAGACGTGTATGCTCCTATGCATAAATGTCCTTGTACTACTTTCAGATATTTTATTTTAAAACAAAATTACCAGATTGTACCAGGCAAGAAAACAGAGATTTCTGTGCAAAGTGAAACTTGGCAAGATTTCCAGTTGGGGTGGATATTGTCCTGAGACATTGCATGGACTGCTGCTTTTGCTGAGAAACAGTGAAACAGTGAAATAGGATTGCACTGATACACAACTACCTTTAATACTGGACTTTCTACCATTGTCTATACTTACAATGTCAGGACATATTTAAATAGAATGGTGGACTTGTGACTGTTTTTGTAGGACTATATTATCGTCATATACAGGGGAAATCAGTGTGAGGAGGAGTAATCGGGAAGAGTGGGGAGAGGAAATCCCTGAGCCATTGGAACTCTAGAACAAAAATAAAGAGTAAAAAACAATTACAAATTTCTAGGGGTCTGGCATAGTGGCCCAGCTGGCTAATCCTACATCTTGTGGCACTGATATCCCATATGGGTACTGATTCATGTTCTCGTTTTTCTACTTCGGATCCTACTCTGTTTATGGCCCAGGAAAGCAGCAGAGTGTGGTCCAAGTCCTTGGGATCCTGCACTTACATAGAAGAGCCAGAAGAAGCTCTTGGCTCCTGGTTTTGGATCGGTTCAGCTGTGGCCGTTGTCATTTGGGGAATATTTCCAATACTCATGACGATGTTAAGAGCATTGCTAAGTGCCATGTCATGAAGCAGATAAAATGTGATCTTTATTTTAGTGTTCTGCAGTGAACATTCCCTACTACGTGCCTTCATATGGCAAATGATTCTTCCGGAATCTTATCCTCTGGCTTATCTGTCAATTCTTTGAATCTGCTTGGGCTTTTTGACCTCCGTGTTCACAGCATGCAACAGAATGAGCTTGTCATTATGCATGAATCAGATTCTCAGGAAGAACCTAACATGTTCTAGCACCTTAAGGCATAATGTACCCTGCTAATGCTTAGAGATTACTGCCTGTTATTTTGTAGACAAATCTTTCCAATTTTCTCAGAGTCTGATAATCTTCCTTGAACCAAAATGGACCATCTAACTTGTATTTTTGCATGTTCTTTTACTTCAGATTAATTTTCTTTATTGCTTATTGCTTTCTTTTCCTTTCTTTTCATTTCTCCTAAAGGGCAAATCTTCAGGGACCTGTCAAGAATCTTTCTGATTATGCACTCAACTTTGTGTCTTGAATATCTTTGTTTGGACAATGCTTTCTGGGGTATGTGACTGCCTGGTATTGTTGCCAACCTGTTTTATGGGACTTTCCAGCTGCTGCATGCTCTCCGGCCTATCTGTACTTCAGAAGATGGGGGAACAAGTCCAGCCAGCCCCACTCAGTGCAAGTCTCTAAATTCCCATCTCAACTAAAGGATTCTGAATTTTCCTGAATTTTCCTCAGGATTAGGGACACTGCATCACCCTCAGGTAAGGTCTTTACTAAACCCATCAAGACACTTCTATTTCTCTCCAAACTCTGAGGCACAGACCCCCTATTAATGTTGCCCAAAGTGCGTGCCACAGATCCTGCCATCTAAGTGAAAGACAGGAATGGAAATGGAAAACAGTACTTTGGAGCTACATTCATTATCCAGAGTAATGTATACACTTCTGTTGATAAATACTCTTTCATTCATATTGGGGTATTGGTTCCAGGAGAATCCACAGATAACAAAATGTGTGGGTGCTCAGCCTCTCTTATAAAATGGCATAAGATTTTCATATGACTTACATAATCCTTCTGCTCACTAATAAAGCAATCCATATATAAATCACTCCTAGGTTAATTGTAATATCTATAAAATATTTATCTCTGTGATACTCATGAGTGTTACCTAGCTGTTTAGAAAATAATGGCAAAGAAAGGTAGTCTGTGTATATTTACAATAGATGTAATTTTTCCCCTATATATTTCTGTCCAGTTTTCCTTACGTGTGTGATGGTAGTCCTTGTGACTGTGGGTGTGGAACCCCTGCAGTGTCCTCCTAACTGGTTTCATTACATCCTCCTTGCCTTAGCTCTGTAACATCCATTCTATGGATAGTCACTAGGGTCTGCTTTCATAACATAAATCAGTTTTACTTAGCTCTTTAACGTCCTTTCATCAGCTTTGCACTGTATTGAGAGTAATACCTCTAGCACCTCAGTGATGCACAGAACTTTACAAAAGACTTTTTGCCTTTCTCTCCAAATGAATCTCCTACCTGTCTCTTCTACTATCAGTACTCATCAGCCATAATGGACTCCTTTCTTTACCTTGAGTAGGTCAAAGTCATTTCTGCTTTAGGACATTTGTATCATTTGTTCCACTTGCCTTGGATATTTTTCACCCAGATCTCAGCTTGAAGTTACCTAATGGAAATATTTCCTGACTATCTTATTTTCATATAATTTGTAACAATTGCTCTCCAGAAAAAATTGGAATGCCAACTGATATTTTTCTAAATGTACTATTAAAAAACTTAACTGTTAATGCAATTCCAGTTTTGGTTTAAAAAATACATATGTATATGTATACTCAACATGTTTATTTACATGTGTAATAAATATATGTTAAAATTTATATTATAAAAAAGAAGAAATTCATTAGCAGATAGATGAAATAAGACCTTCATGCATGCGTTCTAGTTAGGTGGAGGTGAAGCTCAATAAATAGCTCCCCAAAACAATGAGCTTGAATTCAAGCTGGTAGAGGTCGGGGGTGCTGCAGCTTACCGAAGCAGGGTGGGAACTAATGCTCAGAGCAGAGAAGCAGACGGGAGCACAGACCCAGGCAGCAGTGTGTGTGGTGGTGGTGGGGGCGGGCGGCACGGCTGGCTTTCTCACTAGATGAGGTGAGGCACCCTGGAGAATTCTTAACTTCTGTGTGCCTCTAGAGTCTTACTTATAAAGTGGGGAAATGTTTTTACTTATTTCATAGGTTTTGTGAAGATCTAAGTGAGCACGGAAAGCATATAGAGTAGATCTTGGTACTAATGAATGTCAGACAAAAAAAAAAGGAATGACAGAAAAACAATATTACAATGCTGGTTTGATTAAGAAAGGATCATTAATGGACTCTAAATCAAGGGGTAAAAATGCTGTGAGGAAACAGGATACTCGCTGATCAAAATATCATCCTATAAGAATTCAAAGTAGTGTGTGAATTAGGGAATTGGGAAACAACATCTCTTCAGTGATATTTGGATATGAAAGCTATGCTTATGTAAAGGAATATCCCTGTTACTAAGCGGTGGCTGCTGAAGTACTTGGGGTGCTGTGTCATGATTTCTGTTAGTCCTTTACTGAGCTTCAGCGAGGAAAGTGTGTACATGTAAATGGATGTCTATGAATCTGTGATAAAACACATACTGAAAAGTAAGAGAAATGGTAGAATTACGTATCGGATAAATCTGTCCATTGTATTACTCTGTTAGATTTTTCTCTCTGTTTGCAAAGAATTGTATAACAGAACAAAACATGTAAACAAAACAAAAGATGAGTAACTTGTTACCTGTTGCTTTTTGTGCCCCTGCCAGCCTGGCTCTTATTAAGCCATGTCTCTCCTTAAGGCGAAGAATCCGAACCTTTGGAAACTGAGACATGTATTTGTCCAAATTATCTTTTAGGTAATCTGCATCAAGGTAAGAACACACAATACAACGCTTTCATTAACTGTGTCTGGACAAGACCAGAGAAGATGCTGTTCCTATGCCAGATGCATGAAACAGTGTCATTACTATGGTTATACATTTCATTCCTTGGATTACAGTTGCATTTCCTGATACCATTTTCTCAGAAAAGTTTTGTTTCAGCTTAATAGTCCATGATTGACTTAACAAACTGCAAATCCTTCTTAGTGTTGCAAAATAACACAGCAAAGGATCCTCTTTTCTGCATATTTATTAAGGAGAGTTACCTTAAATTTAAGGAGGCTTCTGTACCACTCCTTCCTCTGCTCCTGTGCTAAGGCTCCTCCTGATTTCCAGGAGAGAAGCTAGTCAATGTTCGAAGCATGAGCTTGCAGTAAGACAAACTGAAAGCAAAGCTGTTGTAGTGGTAGTTGGTTGAGATCACTACCATATTCTATTCTGACCTCCACTTCATCACATCTTTCCTCTCTCCGGGTGGCCATGGTGTGACTCAGCATAAGGAAGATTTCTGAGTGTTTTACAGGGTGTATATTTGTGGCTTTTAGCCACTTTTTGTAAATTAATGTAGCTACTGACAACGGCTCCAGTAACATGGATTTCAAAGATAATTTTCAGCTCCCTCTCCTATACTTTTTGGGTCATTTTCTTTAAAAAAGACTGCAAAGTCTATAAACCTCAGGCCTAACAAACTCTGGATCTATCATCTCATAAACAGGCTTTTATCTGATTAGTAACTAGATATTAAGTTAGTTGGTGCATCCAGGGCAACTACCACTTTTCTATCGATTTCCTTCCGACATCCCACCTTGCTGAGTTTAGTGTGGTTATGGCAAAATGTCCTGGGCAAAAGAAACTATTCATGTCAATGTGTCTCAAATTTGGCTTAGGTCTCGTTTAACACTGTCATCCCTTTGCTATTTTCTAATTCTCTGAATTGGGTTACATTTTGGAAATTTATAAGGTGTCAGTCATGGGACTTGAGGCAACCAAATAATCAAGCTGACAATGCAGTGAGATGCTTCACTGTAATAAAAAGAAACGTGGCGAATATGCTTTATGCTGCTTTTGAACTTTGTTAGAGACACATCCCTCCAGTTCCATGACTTCCCAACCCTGACTACACACACGAAACGTGCCTTGCTCTTGGAGGAAGAAGCCGTAGGACTTCCCTTTCTATGCTTTCGATGGGGTTTAAGCAGAAACCTAGATATTCTCATTGGAAAGTTATTCCATTTAGTGCAAGGCATTTGCAGATTCAGTTTCATGCATGAGATTTGTGTAATTGCACAAAACATCTTCTGGACTCTGGTGCACATAGTGTTCATCTCCAAGGAGCCATTCCTAGCAAATGACTCCTACAAGGCAGGAGGGTCGCAGCTCAGTGAAATTTGAGACAGCCAACTCCCTAGAGCCCCAGATGAACTTAAACACTCCAAAAGTCTCAGAAGATCTTGGCCAGTGTGTCTCCCTATGAAGCACTGATTTAACACTTGTAAAACGTTTGCACCTCATCAAATTACCCTGTTAACCTTCCTACTAAATTGGGATTGCCTCAAACTCAATTTTGCCTTTCCTTCACAAGAAAGTAAGCTTGATTTTCTTACCTTTTGTGCTAAAGTCATCCACCAGCAGAATCTCCTTGATGAGGTGAGGAGGAGAGCGGTTGAGGATGCTGTGGACAGACCTCAGGAGAGTGGACCACACCTCATCCACAAAGCACATGATGACACTGGTTGTTGGGAGGTTGTTGTGAATGAGCTGCTCTGCACACCTGGGCCAGAATGTAAGCACATCACAGGAGACTTGCTAGTGAGATCCACAAGCCTGTGTTGGAAGTCTCAAAGTGTGATTATGTGCATATACACACACTCTATCAACTATCACCGATGGATCAATGGGTATGCCAATGATTTCACTAAGATTAGATTCTATGTTGAATCCTATCAGCATATTTCTGACTTCAACCAGTAATACATTCCTTAGTCTTCCCATACTTTAATTTACCCACCCATAAAAATGAAGTAATGCTTTTTGCTCGAAGTATTTTGCCACTGAGTGGAAAACACATACAGTGTCCAGCATAATATCCCTGGTACAGATATTTACTAAGTGGAAGCTCTTGCTATTGTTATAGGGTTGCATACCGGAAGAGCGTATGCTGAAATATATACTGCTGCCAAATGCTTTATGACCGTCCTTTCCATGTACTAATTTCCAGGTGCCAAAGGATTTATTCTCCCTCCCTTTCGATGTGTCATTGTATTTTTTGGACAATGTGAATATATGTGCCAAAAAGTAAATTTCCTTCAGCATTTCTACCCAATGGTTCCTTGCTGAGACTCTGCTGTCGAGTAGCCAAAGTAGGAATCATTTCATTGGCAAGGAGAACAAGGCTAAGTGGGTCTTGTTTTTTTCCCATGTCCTGTAATTCATACTGTCTCACCACGGGCATTCTTCCATCCCCTGCCTGTTTTGTTATTCACAGGATGATGCCCAGTTGAACCACAAAAAGAACATTCAATATCCTGTGAACATAGCTACTTTTAGCAATCCAATAATTAATGATGGCAATGGTCACAAATAAACATCATCAACACAATACATTATCTTAGTTTAAAACCTCAAACCTGTAGCAACTCTTCTTTACAGATGAATGATGGCAATCATGGAGATGTGTGACAGCTGAGTCATATGGATTCACTTTACTTATTTTACAAATAAGATATATATGTATGCATCTATTATAGACATATGAGTAAAAGTAAACAAATTATATTTGTGTGCCACATAATTTATAGTTGATAAAGAATTCCCACATGTATCATTTATTTTCCTTATCACACAATTCTGAGACGTATAATCTTTTACTCTTCTTCAAGTACAGCAAAATAAAACTTGAGCAATTGTCTTATTCAAAATCATTCAGCTAGAGAGGATTCCCATGGAAATGTGAACAAGTATCGGAATTAAGAAAAACTTTCAAGAATTGGAGAGATGTGGAAAATCAACTCTATCCATCAAAACCTGACTCTCCACTTCCCCTCAACATGTCCTGGTGCCTAATTTCACCACTTGAATTCCAAATGAGTAACTCATGAAGGATTCCAGGAGGTATTAATATCCAGAAAATAAATAGTACTTCTGGCACTTTTACAACATATATTTTTATATGTGTTTAAGGAGCCACACTGAAGATAAGTTGTATGCTGTTATTCATATTGATGCCTGATAAAAGACAATATTAAAGGAAGAGGAGAATCACAAGAAAAACAAGGGGTTTCATGCACAAAGTTTCAGAGTGCTCTTTGGTTTAGATAATTGAGATGTTAGGTTATTTCATTGTTCTAAATATTTTCCACATGTCTAGATAAACCAATGTGGTTGTTTTCTTCAAAGACACAGTGGGTAAAACCAGAGGCTTTCAGCTCCATTAACTTGTGTATCAGGCATGCATGCTGACAACCATGTGGTTTATACAAATCAGTAAACTTTACAGTTCGGATGTTCTGCACTGCAGCTGTCAAAATAATTTTTCTGTGTTCTTATTTTCCCATTATAAACATTGATCTCTTCTTTAAGAAGAATTGCAGCTATAGTAAATTCTAATTTAAGTACAAGATATTTCTGGTTTTAAAAAGTTTCTTGAGGGCCCAGTGTGGTAGCCTAACAGTAAAAGTTCTCACCTTACAAGTGCCAGGATCTCATATGGGTGCCAGTTCTAATCCTGGCAACATCTCTTCCCGTCCAGCTCCCTGATTGTGGCCTGGGAAAGCAGTCTAGGATGGCCCAAAGCCTTGGGACTCTATGCTTGTGTGGGAGACCTGGAAGAAGCTCCTGATTCCTGGCTTTGGATTGGCTTAGCTCTAGCCTTTATGGCCATTAGCAGATGGAAGTTCTTTCTCTCTGTTTCTCCTTCTCTTTTCATTTGACTTTCCAATAAAAGTAAATAAATCTTTAAAAAAAAACATTTCTTGAAGCTAATAAATCACATTTTCAGTGCATACATTCATTGATTACATAAATTGGGTGCTTTGACTCTACAGTCCCCAAGCTTCACTTAATAATTAACCCATTCTGGTGGCCAATGCTCCAGTGCAGTCAAGCCAGAGCTTGGGACACTGGTGTCCCATGCCAGAGTGCTGCTTGGGGTTCCAGTTGTTCTACTTATGACTAAATATCCTGCTAATGTGTCTGGGAAGGCAGTAAGAGATGGCACAAGCACTTGGGTTCCTGCTACCCATGTAGGAGACCTGGCTGGATTTCAAGCTCCTGGCTTCACCCTGGCGCAGTGCCAGAAGTTGTCATTTAGGGAATGAATCTGGAAACACAGGATCTCTCTCTCTCTCTCTCTCTGACTCCATATTTTCAAATAAATACCTATGTTTAACAAGCATTTAAAAATTAACCCATTCTGTTTAGTTTCAGGAAATCTAGACTTAGGGTACTAGAGTCAATTCAAGCATTATACACCAATGGGGACTCTAGCATGGACAATTTGACCATTCTGTAGAGAGCTGGCACATTACTCTGGCAGAACAGAAAGACTTTCAACCTGAGAAAATGAGTGACTAAAGTCTTGAGTCTTTTTTTGGCACTTATTGTCTGCCCGGCCATGGACAAGTAGCTCAGCTTTCTAGAGGATCAGTTTCCTAATTTTAACAATGGGCTCATCACATAATGCCTATGAAAATTTGCTGAGTTAATTAAAATACTTAGTGAGTTTCATGATGAATAACCGAAGTGAGAATATGTGATTTTCCACAATCCAGATTCACATATTTTGGCAGAATACGCTATTCTTTCCCAAGCAATTCTTTAATCTGAATGTATCAGGTGCTCTGTCATCTATTATGAGGTAAAGAATTGATGTGTTTTGTCCTCTGGGCTCCCATTTGCTGAATACTCAGCCACTAACTGGGATTTAATGTAGTCTATCAAATGAAAACAGTCTGAGATCTAAAGATTGAAGGAACGATAACATTCTCTCTTCTCTATGAATTTTTCATTTTCTTTCAAGAGAGTCAAAATGTACTATGTAGGCCAAGTCTCAGCTTCACAGGTTGGAACAGAAGGTCGAGGAGAATATTTTCTCAGTTTCTATTTGCAATTCAAGTAGAGCCTTCATGTGCGCCTGCAGGGGCCTGCGGTCCCCAAGTCCTGGTATATCTTTGGAACATCAGGAGGAGAATCAAGCATCCATCAGAGGAGCTCTGCCTGGAATTAGATTCTTTTCTCCAATACCTTAGCATTACTGGGTTGTCTTTTCCTTTCACTGGTAACAGAATCTAATATTATAAAAATCTACTTTTCTGTTCTGTTCTTTCTAGGGTTAATGAATGTCCTTGACATTCACTCATGAGTTCAGTCACACACATCACCTCCACTCTAGAGACTTTGCTAAATGAAGCTGTGCATCCTGAAGTACTCTTGTATCAACCAAAGCGACAGGCTCAGGCTTGGAAATGCAAACCCTCGCATCAGTGTTTATCCCTGAACAGTAGTCTATTTTCAGCAGGCAGCTGTGTCAATGTGACCTTGGGATGGGAGGGAGTAACACAGAAGAGATGCCATGTGGCAGAAATAATATTGGCTGGAGATAAGAGAACTCTGGGCTAGTTCTATTTCTCCTGCTCTGTGGGACTTTGGGCAAGTCACTTTCCCCTCCAGAACTCTGTAACTTACTGGACTCAGAAATCACTCTTAAACCTTCAAATAATATCAATATTCCATGATAAATTTCTACGCAACTTTACAGAGCACCATTCAAATGGTGCTCCATTTCAGATCCAGCTCCCTGCTAATGCAACTAGAAAAGCAATAGAATGAGCACTTGCCAGCCAGCTGGGGGACCAGGGCGGAGTTCTTGGTTCTGAACTTAGGCATGGCCCAAACCTTACCTTTGGGAGTGAACCAATAGATGGAAGATCTCTCTGTTTCCCTCATGTTGCCTCTTAAATAATTGAAAAAGATATTTAAAAAAAAAGAGATTTTAACTTTTCCTGAGTGGCAGTTTGAAGAACCCTAACAAAGTGCTGAATGGCATGGACTCTATGGGCTTTTACTACTCCATAAGTTTTCAACACTCTTCTTTACCCAGTGACAGCTTCATTTGGGGTCTCAATCACTCCCTTGGTACTTTTCCCCCACTTCTGTTACTTTCTTCCTTTGCATGTTGCAGCTCAAATGTTCTTCTCCTTGTCAAGTCCAATCAAACCTCTCTCTACCTTCCTCCAGGAGTACCCTGTGTTTTTGTGTGGTATTTTGCTCTACCTAACTTGAAACTAGGTAATATATTCTAATGCTACACCATCCACTAGAAACCCAGCGATATCCTTGCATATCTGGACTCTGGTCTTGGGGCAATTTTAAAGAAAAATTATTTCTTATTTCTATATAAATTATGTCTACACATTTTCTCAGAATATATACCTGTCAAGAAAAACTAACTCCCTCATGCACCTCTAAGCTATGGATGAGGAAGAAATTTGTTTTAATTTTTGACAAAGGCATAGGACTATAAGAAAAAGAAAGAAAAAAGAAATTCTATTTTATACAAAAAGTACTGGAGTCTCAAGTTGGGAAACTGTCCTTTGAGTCCCAAATCTGATATTAGCATACTGAGTAGAATAACTATTATTTGTTTTTGCTTATCATCTGTGAAACACATGGGAATTCCATTTATTATATTCTTTTTATTTTTTTTGGAGGGGGGGTGAGGAATGGCCACTTTATTATGCACAGGTTACAGGCTTTAAAGGGTAAGGGAGGGGA